AAATCAAATTTTTTAAGGAGGTTGCAAAAAGTTGTCGCTTCGCGAAAAATTATTACATTTTAGGTCCGCAGAAAAGATTAACATTAGATCTGATGCGAAAAAAAATTTTGCTTCCCTCAATCTTGACTGCCTTGAAATCTCGTCACACCCCCCCAATCTTGGGACCCTCGCGCGGGGCCTGTGTTCTGTTCTATTTATCAAACAAAATATCACTTTATTCAATTTGATTTTTTTTCTTCTCAAAAAATCGATCACAACATCATTTTTTTTTGTTACAAATCAATTACATCTTACGAATGCTGAAAATTATTTCTGTGAGGAAAAAATGAATCAAAACTTGTCGTGAATAAAATTTTGCCATAATATATTTGATATATGTATGTTATTCAAGGGTGTGGGTGTGGGTGTAGGTGTGAATGCAATTAGAAACACACTCGCACACCCACACCCACACCCCCTCCCATCCTGCTACTCTATTGTTTAAACTGTGGAGAGTTGATATGCCGTTGAACTTGCTAAAAATGATAGAAAACTGCCTAGAGGACCGAAAAACAAACATAATATTTGGCGAGAAACGAACAAGTATCTTTGATATACATATAGGTCTTCCACAGGATAGTAGTCTCATTCCATACTTGTTTATTGTCAATCATTGTGATTTAATTTAGTGTTTGGAAGCTCACCCAGGTCACCTTGTCACTGATGATCTCAGCGTATTGATGACGCTCTCAATCATGAAAAGCTTAGCGCATATGTTGCAGTTTCTGGAAAAGGCAGGTACCAAATGTGTAATCAATTGCATATGTACTCCAAAAATTGGAAGCAACCTATAAATATATCTAAAATTGTAGCATAGTTATTCCATATACAAATAAGATCACAACTGGACATAATGATGAATGGCACTAATATTCAATTGGTTAAAGAGTTTAAGTATCTTGAATTTACATGGACGGATAAATTATCATTGAAGCCGACTGTTGACAAGTGTATAGGAAATATTCAGAGGTCTCTAGGAAAACTAAGGTGATTAAAATCAGGATATAATGTGTTATCGAAGGTATTTCGTCAGTGTTTCTTTGGATATTTCTTCTCACATTTCGCTTGGTAATTTCTGTTTTATCCCCTACTTCCAGAGAGTCAACAACATTTATTACAACAAAAATTCCGTGCAGGATTCTAACTGGTGCATCTTTGTCTGTTTATCTCACCACAAAATCTTTATAGTATCTTTTCTGAGCATTCCTTAGATTTCTACGTCAAAAGGTATATTCAAAGAAGATTGAATAACATGCATTTAATCGACCTGGGAAGTTCACTTTTTTTATAACGACACGACACGAATCGTATCTTTTAAAGTGTCTATTTTTTGTTGAGAAGAATCCATAGAATGAAAAAAGCACAATATCAGGCTTACACATACCCTTCTTTCTTTTTTTTTCTCTTTTTTTTCCTTTCTATTAGTCTGTCTTGCCTTATTTGTTTCTTTTTGCTTCTTATTCTTTGCTTCTCCCAACATTCTCTCGTATTAGTTTATTTCGTTTATGTTTTTGTTTTCTTGTTTTTGTCCTTTGTTCTTCATATATCGCTTTTTTAGCACTCTCTTATTACCCTTAAAAATGTTAAAGAAAACTGTTAAAAGTATATTACTCATAAAATGTGGTATGCTCCGCATTAATTATGTCGCTTTGAGCTTAATAGTCCTAAATTTTTAAAACTATCATTGTCATTATGTAAGCATTTCCGGACGTAACATCATCAAGTATAATAAGAAAAAAAAGACAGAGCATCTGATACAGGATATTTCTTCTAATGAGTTATCAAAGTCGGAGAGATAAATGATGCTTTTTTCAACTGTTTTTCATTTAATGAAGATTTACAACATCAAATTTAAGAATGAACATACGAATAGTACTACCTTAAATGAAGCGATTGTTACAAATAATATTTATATGCAATAAATATATATAGTGTAATAAACTAAATTTAAAAATTAGCAAAAAAAGTGAATCTAATTTAGAACAAAAAATGATTATGAACATCATTAATGATAAACAATTACATATCAGATATGTTTCTTTCATTTTTCTTATTATGTCTTTCTCAAGAAAATCATTCTAATGAAGATAATTTTCGAGTTAATTTTTAACATAAAATAATAATAATCAAATAAGATATAGATTTATATTGAACACTTGATAAAGAACGTGATGATAAAATTTTACATAATGAAAATAGTTTTAAATAAAATTAAAATTAAATATGGAACTTGATCAACTTCAATCTAATGGTAAATTTAGCATGGTGTAGATTAGAATAATTGGCGAGTTATATTCTTGATTTTTACTACGACGACTAATATTTCTTTGAAAAAACATAGAATTCCCAAAGGTCGATATTTATCATCTTACGACTATAAACTATAGACAGTCTAAAATAGAATTCTTCTTATTTACTAACTAAAAATCTATCTATGCATCCACACTACCAACCTATCAGCTATGTTCAAAAACTAACACATGAAAAATTAGAAACAATTCCTATAGGAATTATGTTGTCAGACTAATAACTCGAGATAGTGATCTTATATAAATCGTTCAAAGTTATCCTCCAATAGTGCCTTTGAATTGTAACTTCCTTGTAAAGAAAAGATTAAGTTGTCATTATATTTGTATGAAAATATAAAGAAAGTCATGACTTCTGCTTGGGTGTGGAGAAGAGAATGACCCCACATTCACATTCCACACTCACGCACCCAAACCCACACCAATACCCATACCCACACTGAAAAAAAAATGTGGTACCACACGAAACTCACGCATGGTTCCGAATTTTGTAACGAAATCGAAACCCTTCAGGGATTCGTAAATATTCCTTTTTTTTTTTGATTTTTCAAAAGAATAGGTCATTAGAATGATGTTCCTACTTGATTCAGTATCCTACTAATAAGCTCATGCACTGTACAACAGTAAGACGTTATATCGAACTATTTTTTATCGAAAATCGAAACTTTGAAAAAAGGTTCCGTAAAAAATCCAACATGTCTCAGAGTGATTGTGAATGGTCGAAAAAGCATTTTCAAAGCTTTTCTTATTTGACTAAAAAACCTTAAATGGTTCGGATTTTATTACAAAGATCGGAATCTTTCTAGGTTTCGTCATGTGCTCAAAAACCTTTGTAGGTTTCGCAACACGATGAAAAACTATTTTAGGTTTCGTAGCATTCCAAGTGGTTCAGTATCGTACCATTTTTTTTACAGTGCACACATCCACACCCACACCCTTTAGCAGTTATTAAAAATCAAGAAAACTATTATGTTCGAGACAATACAATGTTTATCCAAATTATGTTGGATTTTGGCGAAACACCTAGAGCACTTTTATCGTATACATTGAATGTTAATCCTGGATTGCCAATACACATGCAAGAAGCTATACGTTGTATGACAATTAAATAAGCTCGAGATGCAATTATTGCAGTAATGATTCGAAATGATCAAGAAATATCACGACGTAGTTTAATTTCTATGAATCGATCTGAGCTACCAGAAACTACACAACAATGATCAACTTCAACAGCAAACTTCCAAGGTGGTGCATCATGTGCAGATATATCACATGAATATAAAATACTAAAATACAGTCCATGATATCAATTGTTTTTCTCTTCTTTACTGACTACAACATTATTATATTAATCAAGTAAGAGAGATGAACTAAATTTTTGTGCCTTTATTTTATTCATTGTACTTCTGAATTTTTTTTAAACATTCCTTGATAAAATCTATGCCTTTTATATTTGTTGACAATACAACTGTCACATGTTTTTTACTTCAACGTTTTTTTTTCACTTTCTTCCTTCATATGTTTTATCAGATGAAAAAAAAAGAAATGTGCTGATGTATTTTTTTTCTGTCAGCAAGGGAAGAATGTTGGCCATTGAAAAGAACAACATAAACAACCAATATTAATAATTTTTTTTTCATCTCTTTTCTTTCATTGTTTAATATTACTAATATTGAATACATAAAGTTCTGATCGAAACAGAAAGAGGGAAAAAACCATTTTATTCCCATTTGGAATTTTTCAATTTTAATTGGTTTTTTCCCCACATTTAGTTTTTTTTTCTGTGTATATAACTGCCTTCGCAATAAAAAAAGGAAGTATTTTTTTTCAATTAGACTGAGATATGCTTACAAGTCGACGACTTAGAAACATTTAGCACTTAAAGTCTGCCATCTTTTTTAAATTCAAGGTTATTATTACGACAACAAGAATATTTTTTCAGTTATTTTATGACCTTGAAGAAAGCTTGGAAATTTCCAACTTAACGGTGGTTTTTCTGTGTATGATGGTTTTTGTATTTCTCTTACCACTATTTTTAACTGTACGTACAATCACTTCACCAAGTATTCGGGCGCCCTATGAGGTTTTTCATATTTTTTCATTTGCGGAGGAGAAACAGAAGATAAAATTTTTCTTTTTTCTCCTGGATACGCTTATTCTATATTAGTATCCTACAGCCGGATCTGGCATCCGGGCTCAACACAGCAATCAATGAGATCTCAACGTTTCAAAATATTTTTAATTTTTCAACCTGCTAATTCATATAAAAGAATAGGACTGAAAATCGACTCGTACTAAAAGAATTCATTTTTAATGAAAATTCATCTATAAATGATGATAAATCATATGACGGAGTAACTGTGTACATGGAGTGGAGAATGAATTATCAAAAAGATGAATATCAACAAGCAAACGTATACTTACCAAAATTGATCGGATTTTAGAAGTAGAAAGGCACCATGTGATTCATTTACTTTTTTATGAAATTTGAGATAAT